TGTAAAAATTTGATAAAAATTAATTATAATTTGAAAAAGTTTTATTAATAACAACTTTCAATTTTATAGTAAATTTTGAAAATCATGTGTTAATCATATGAAAAATAATCTACATACTGTCTACCCTTAATTTAATAATAAATTATTGAACTAATTTACTACCAGGTGCTTGAAACATAAGATTTGAGTAATATGTAAATCAAAATAATTTTTATTAAAATAAATAAATCTACAAAATATAATTTAGCTAATATTAGTGTTAGTATTGAAAACTAATATTGAAACAAATTATAATTTATATTAAATTTGCAAGAAATTTTCTTAAAGCTCCAAAAGACAGTTTTATATACATAATTTTGAGATATTATTAATTTTTGTTTTGTTGCTTTATTTTGCTGTACAAAAAATAATCTACAATATGTATTTAATCAAATATTTTAATTGGGGTTTCTATTTGTTTTGTGTAACCAAGTGTTAATACACCTAGTGTTCAAATAGAAATTGCCTAAATTATATATATAATTTTATAGCATTTATCTTAAACATTTATAATTAAATTTTTATTTTAATAAATGCTTTCAATAAATACTATTTTATAAATATATATTAAGTTAAAAAAAACAAGTTATAAAACTATAAAAATTTTAAAAAAAAAACATTTTAGCTTAAGAACTAAAAATTACAAATTAAAAAAAAAAATAAAAGATTTGAGACCTTGCATCCAAGGCAACACTTGGAACTAAGAGCTAAAAAATTAAAAAACTTCAAATTAAAAAAATATAATCCACACACCCGGGTCTAAGTGCTAAAAAATTAAACAATTAAAATAAAACAAATTAAAAAGTTAAAATATAAAAATTAAAACTTTGCGAATAAAAATATAAATTAAAAACTAAAGTTTAATAAAACTTCAAGATTATAAAAAAAAATCAAGATCGCATCCCCGGAGCATTTATCGGATCTAATATCAAGCTGAATAATCAATATACTCTTCAAATTCGTCCTTAAAATCACTTAAACGGGAGCCTTCTTCGAAATCCATTTGTTTATCCTTCCTTTTTTCAGGTTCATAGACATACTCTGGATACCTAGCTTTATGCCTTTCATTTGCGACTTCTGCTAAAATGGCAAAAAAATTTTTCACTTCAGCCGATTGATCATCCCAAGCCTGACTTGCTTCTTTCGATAAATCATTTGTTGACTTTACCCTATCAGGATCCACCTTTTTCGCACGTGCGGCATAATTCTTTCGAAACAAAATAAATTTATTCTGTGCGCGTGGTGGTTTATTCAAGTTTTTCGGTCGTTCACGTGGTTCAAGAAGCTTTTCCAATGGTAAGCTTAATTCACAAGGAGGATTTTTCAATATTTCTGAGAAACGATCCTCAATTCTATATAAATTTGTATGACTTGGGCATTGTGGCATGCTAATTAAATGGTCAGAACTTTTTGGCGAATCATAATTTACATGCTTCGTCAAAACATTTTCCGACTGAGATTCAAGTGAATTTATTTCGACCTTTTGTAGCTTGCTGGTTATCTCTTTCCCAATACTAATAATAGATTTTCTTAAAGCATTCAAATGAACCATTAATTTTTCAGAACTTGATGGTGAATCATAATTTACATGCTTCGTCAGAACATTTTCCGACTGAGATTCAAGTGAATTTATTTCGACCTTTTGTAGCTTGCTGGTTATCTCTTTCTCAAGACTAATAATAGATTTTCCTATAGCATTCAAATGAACCATTAATTTTTCACAACTTTCTAAGAAAAGAATAAAACATTGAATTAAGCATTTTGGTTCATCGCCATTAATGTCATAATTCTTGAAATTATTTCCATCAGAATCATATATTTCCATAGGTGAAGATATCAAATTTTTGTTATCAGCATAATTAAGTTCGATTTTATTTTCGTTATATTGGTAATTTAGGGCAACGACTTCGAAACTTCGTTCATAATTTGATGAATATTTAAATGAAGTAACAAGAAATGAATTTTGTGGTAGGCTATCTTGAACATCTAATGTAATCTTCCAATTATTTTCATTTGGATTTAGTGGAATCGAGGTATTAATCGATCTTAAAATTCGAATATTTCGTGTTTTCATGCAAAAAAATCCAATTTTAGCAGGTATTCCGATTAATATCCATTCTATCTGTAATTCCGTATGCTCACTACAAATTAAAGATTGATAGGGATATTGCAATTAATTAAATCTATTATAATGAATTGAATATCAAACTCACTCAATTGTATTAAAATTTTCCACGAAGGCATAGAATCCGTATATATCCATAGATTTGAACTTGATGACAACTTTATCGACTGGTTCTCCATTTTGTTTTACTAGTTTTCCAAAAAGTTGGTAATCATTGAATTTAAAGCAAATTGGAAAATTTACACGATAAGAAAAATGAGGATCTTTAATCGGAATTGTTCCAGAAAATAGCAACCTTTCTTTGACATTTAAACTTCTTGAAGGATCAATAATTCCAAGAATAGATTTAATTTCTTGACAAAGCGGTTCGTCAAATATTTCATATATTGGATAAAATTCATTCCAATTGATTATTTGCAATGATTCATAATCATTTTTTGAACAATTTTTCATCCACATTTCAATTTCATCTTTCATAATTAATTTTCTGTCAACAGACATAAAGTAAGACGAATCAAAACCATATACGCCTATGTGTTTTTCCCACTGACTTAAAATGTCATAATATTTTTCTGTCATGAAATTGGCAGACTGTTCTCCTTCTTTAAAGTTAGAATCCGGATGACTCTCGTCCACAATTAAACGAGTAACTCTGCATATTTTATGCCCAAGAATAAATTTTCTAGGAAGAAATTGTCCGTAGATTTCAAAAATTGACATTAATTCATTATAAGGGTTATAATGATTTAGAGCTTCTTTAATTTTAGCAACCATTACTTTTGAAGGTTTTATCTTGTCTTTTTCAACAATTAATTCCAATTGCGAACATTGTATTTGCAAACATACATCTTTGACAAGTGACTCATTTATTAAAGGGTTTTCAGTGGATTTTACAGTTATCCAGTCACAATGTTTCAAGTCAACAGCAGAATGATCAATATGGTTTTTAAACAAGAAAGAATCTCTCTGTTTAGTAGAAAACCTTAACGCTATCTGAAAAGAGTTACCAAGCGGCGTATTTAATTTTCTGGCTTGAAACTGCGAACATAGCGAATATGCCGAAAATTTTGAATGGCGTACTCCTTCAGCACTTATAATTAAGCCATGGTTAATTTTCAATGAATTAATATTTTTGATACACTCCGCAACGTTTTGAGCTTCAATCATAATACTAATACTGTAATATGTTTACGTCTATGATTTATCGTTATTTCAACGTTTATACGTATCCGTATGTAACACATATATTTGTGATACAGTCCACACATCGGACTGATACGTATATAGATGGTAGAATTTAAAAATGGAAATTTTAACAATTAAAATGGTTAGTAATCATTGTTATTATTATAATTTACATTTTTGAATTCTACTACCAACTATAACTGCTTACGTATTAAGTACGACGTTATTATTATACGTACAGCACATAATCTTTTCCCATGTACCTAATATGAATCAAATTGTAGACGAAATTAAAAAAGGTTACCTGAAAGAGTTTGATTACAATGAATTTCATGTTTTAGAAAATGTTTCCGATGGCTCAAGCGAGGTCAAGCATGCTCATATAAAAACTAATAGTAAACACGTTGTCCTTAAATTTTTAAAACAATATCAAAATGAAAATGAATATTACAACAAATTTGACAGAGAAGTACGTTATTATAGTACCAAGAATGGAGTCAAGCTTCAAATTTTCTAAAATGTATATGTCATTCTAATTGCTTTAAGTTATGAATAAATAGAGAAAGAATTTAAAAAAAGTTTTCCTCAATGATAACGTGATTAGTTTTTATGGTGTTACTAAAGGTACTTTTTACATGTGTCATAATTCGAGTCAATAGTAATTTATATCAATTTTCAGAAAGGCAAGATTTTATTGACTAATGCATTTCAATTTTTCGTTATCTAAGAACCTTCCAAGATATTCCATTCTTTGGTACTTCAATATTGCTTTGGTAAAAACCTTAGGGAACATTTAAGGGAAGAAAGCGCCATAAAAAGTGACTGGTCATATAAAAGTCAAATGGCCATAGAAATTGCAACAGGCTTGGAGTATATTCATGCAGCGAATCTTGTACATTGTGATCTGGTTAGTATATAATTTAGGAGGGAATTTGTTCGCATGTAATTGATATTTCTCAACAGTTATATTTTTATATAAATCTTAACAATAGAACTCAAAAAACATAATGCTCCATAAAGACAAATTGTTGATTATAGATTTTAGCTCATCCATGTCTCTTGAAAGTCAAACAGAACCTACTCTCAAAATCAGTGAGGAAAATATTGCTTATGTGGATCCAAAATTTTTTAATCCTATACTTAACGATAATAAATATGATAAATCTTCCGATATTTATAGTTTAGGGGTGATATTTTGGGAAATATCAAGTGGAAAGCCCCCTTTTTGTGATAGGTCTGAATTAAAAAATACAAAAAAATTAAAAACGTTTCTTGCACTTGAAAATAGAGAAGATCCCATTAATTTAACTCCCATAGACTACAAAGAACTTTATTGTGATTCATGGAATTCTGATCCTGAAAAACGACCATCAATCAATGAAGTCATTGATCGTCTCAATGATATTGAGTTTGATTGTGTATATCAAGATTCTAATTATATACCAGAAATTTCTTTGAGGAGTTCTTTTAGAAACAGGATTAGGTTTATGTCAAACAATACAGCTTGCATAGAGGTTACTAAAGGGTCGGTTCAAAATTTATACATTTTTCTTCCTCCAGGACAAATATCTATAGGAAGGAGTAATTCGAACGATGTCATCATAAAAGACCAAGAAATTGCTAAAACACACGCAAGAATTATTGTAAATAATCAAGGGCAAGTCGAGATCAAAGAATTAGGTTTTGATTATGGGATTTTTATTAATGGTAAAAAGCTTGGATTTCTTGCTTCCCATATTTTAATAAATGATGATGTAATTTCAATGGGGCGTAGCGAATTTCAATACCTTCCCACTGGAGAATATAAAAGCCGAATGGATCAACCTCTGTCAATCTATAATAAGGCTTATTTCTTGAAAAAATTGGAAAGTGAATTCAAGGGAGCAAAAAAAAATAAATATGATTTGAGCTTATTGTTTTTTGATTTGGATCATTTTAAAAGTATCAATGATCAAAATAATCATATAATTGGAGATTACGTTTTAAAAGAGTTGGCTAATTTGATTCGAAATAATCATATCCGTTCTGAGGATATTTTTGCAAGATATGGTGGAGACGAGTTTGCTATTCTTCTCAAGGGCACTAATATAAATTTAGCCTCTAAAATTGCTGAAGAAATTCGAGGATCTGTTGAAGTCCATTCTTTTACTTGTAACAAAACCAAATTATCAATTACACTTAGCATTGGAGTTTCTGAAATGAATTCGTCCGTAGAAACTGGTGACGATTTACTTCTCCATGCTGACAATGCATCAAAGAAGGCTAAGGAGTACGGCCGCAATCGAGTAGAAGTATGGAGTAATGAGTCAACTTCAATCTGTATGCCAAAATTCATTAAGTATATTATTATCAGTGTTCAATCGAAATTAATGTGCAGAGTTCTCATGAGAACACTATTAATTATTTGCGAACAATTTTTAAATTATTATAAAAAAAAGGTTGAGTACAACAAAGTAATAATCATGTTTATTAGTTTATCGAATATAATGAAGGTTTTTCCTTTATTATTACAAGTCACTCTCGTTATAGTAAAGTGATTTGATCCATTAATGAAAATTTACTGTCAAATTTGCTAGAAATTCACTATCAAGAAAATTATATGGGGTGAATCAACAAAAAAAATATGGAAATTTTTTTCTAAGTAAAATTTTCTCAACTTCAAACTTAAATATCTCTTATCAAATTTTTTATTTTAATTTATATAATTTTGAAATTAAAAAACCAAAATTGATTAGATAATTGTGAATTTAAAAATTAAAAACGATAAAAAATGACTTGTCCCTTTTCTATTGACTCTGGCTTTGAGTCTAACTTCATTATATCGAGATTTTAACTAATCTTCACAATATTGAGAGTTCATTATAACGAGAGTGATTTATATAAAAATCTGTGTTTTTTTCTTTATGTTCAAGAAAACATGTATTACTGTGTGAAATGATAGCCCTTGAACTATAATACTGATTTCATGAGAACAACATTAAGACATGAAAATTTCGAACATTGATTATTATTATTATATTCATGTTTCATGTTTATAAAATTTGATTAATAGCCAGAAGTGAAAACCATTTAAGAAAGTCACCTAATAAATCCACTGAAGGCGAAAGCAACCATGTAGAATCGTTTTCTTCCCTTTCATCAACAATTAATGATTCCTTTTTTTCAACAATGGATTCTTCTTTTTCTCAGGCAATGGACGACGAAATTGGCATCACAGTAATTAAATTAGATTCAGAAAATAAAAAGACAGAATGTTATATGTATTTTCCTAGAAAGGAAACTCTTAATTTTATTCGAACTAAACTCGAAGAATATGATGATTTTTATATTGGAACTAATTGTCATTTTATAAAAAATAAGGCTCCAGTTTTACGGAAAGATGAGTCAAAACTGAATTTTTTGCGAATCATCGAAACACGTGATAATAACAATTTTTTGTATATTAAAGAAAAAGCAGAATTCGATAGGTTACTGTTAAAAGGCGAGAAAGGTTTCAAATTTTGTAAAGATGGTTCTATTGAAAATGCTAGAGATAAAGCTTTTAAGATCGACATCAACAAAATTGAATTTTCGGATCCAAGATATGACTTTGAAGACCTACCATACGAATGCAATCATGCACCTAATGCTAATTGTAAACGCAGTGTTATAATTGATGGGAAATTTTCGGACGCTTTAGAATGGTTTTGTAATTCGCTTAAATTATCACGAATAAACATTAAACCACCTACTGTGCATTTACGTGAATGGAGACCACAAAAGGAAATCACAATTTTAGACATTAGTGCAACTAATAAATTTATTGAAGATGTCAAGGATGCAATAAATAATAATAAAGACAATGAAGATATAATAAAGCAACTCCGTAATGTGTCGGAAAAATATGGACATTTTTATGCTCATCGTCTTATTTTAGGAGGGGCTATAGTTAAAAACAAATCAGGTGAATATTCGTGAGATGAACATTCCTTAAATTAAAGCCTCCGAAATAACTTTTTTTGGTTATACAGTAAGTGATAATGTAGTTATTTCTACCTCTGTTATCGGCGGGAACAAATACAAATACTTCAATGAAAATATAAATCCTTGGGACGAATCTCTCGGCAATGCATCTACTTGGAAAATAATTGGTTATGACAAAATTTATTCATTGTTTGAATTATTGGATGAGGATTTACAAAAAGAAGTTTTGAGTGCTTTGGGACACCGAATTTTAAAAGGTAAAAATTTTCTCTATAATATTATCAAAATCAATATATAAATAACTAGTTTCATTATATCACAAAATTTTAAATACAGCTGGTACTAAAGATATCAATTTTGATTTAAGAAATTCTACGAATTCAATACCACCATACATTCATAATTTGTCTTCGCGCATAAAGGAAATTGGAAATATACATAATTACCAAATTTTCGCGTCAATAATGAGCAAAAGTGATAAAAATTTGTTTTCTGCTCATGTAGATTATTTGAACAAAGATAAAAATACACCCGTAATTGTTGTTCACAATATTAAAAGGGAAAATTCCAGTTTTGCAACTTGTTTAATTAAGCTCGGATGGATTATAGTTGGACCGCTAACAAACTTCGACTTTAATGTCCAGTTTCCATTGGTATTTAAAAGTATGAAACAAAGTGTAAAATATATATCAGAAAAACATCATAGCACCGTAAAAATTAATAATTACAAAACTTGTATTTTGGGCATTTGCGCGTTAGAAGCGGATTCTCATTCAAGTTCTATGGGTAATATTGATTTCATGAGGAAAGAAAATCCTCAATTAAGCACTGCAAGCATTGTGGAATCAACAGAAAATATCTCGTATGACTTAAAATATGATCCGAAGACAACAGAAATTATCGTTGGTACACATTTCTCAACTTATAAGGAGTCCGCGTGTTTGTTTGTTTATAGTCTAAATGATACAGACAAATCTATTAACGAAACAGTATTGCAAAACTTAGCACTATACACCTGGGATACGACCAGGGCGGCCATCGATTTTACGGGTCATGTGGGTGGCGCCACCAATGTTCAATATGTACAATATGCAGGGTCAAAATTTTCATAGCGATAGAACCATAGATCCAATACTGTTTCG